CATCGTTTATGAAAATTTGAATAGAGAAGCCAAAACACTTTTTTCCAGATCGTCTAGGCTCCTTTCATAACTTGTTTTGTACACCGTTTGATTTTAGTCAAATCATTTTAACTGAGATTCAGGGGTCGGTTCAAAAGTACGTTCTATTGTGAGTGTTTTTGCAGACAGTCGGCTTTCATCCAGTGATTATCACACACATTTTCGAATTTAGATAATATGGAGAGGCTGTTCATTTAAGTTTCTATCAACATCTGGGTGCTGGGATCGGTCAATTGGTTCCCTCGATTGATCCTTTGAACGGTGGGGTTTTCTCTTTCCCGAAAGTAAAATGTGCCTTTATGATGAACGAGAATAAAGGCCAATCGTTATCTTTATTATATTCTAATCCATGACCATTATCAGTTTATTATTGCTAGTAGTAGTAGCAAGCCGATCTCATTTGTGAGTAAAATAAATTAGCGTCACGATGAATCAACATAGCGACTCACGCAATGAAATTTCTTTTCTGTATTGTTTTGTCTTTCTGAATAATTAGCATAGAAAAATTGGGCCCCGTCAGTTTCTTGTTTCGTTCTATAATGCGCCCCACGTTTCACTGTTTTTTTTTCTTGTGTGTTAGAAACATGCACATCTTTAGCTAGCTTCTCATCATTCTTGCTTCAGCTTCTTACATCGATCGGGATGACGAATAATGCCATTTATTCGCTAGTTGAAACTTCGTTTGTACCTGGGATGTAATCACGGCCATTTTAATACTTAGAGGGTTTCCTTTGAGATATGCTGCACTACCAGTTCTCACTCTTACGCCATGATGTAAAAGACTATTCGTTCTATGGCTACTGTCATTCGTTTGTATGCAGCTGTTCACGAGTACATTTGGTGTTCATCATTGTGCCCCTCTGTGCTCATAACCGCCTCCCCCGATTCCGAATATGTGCACCTCTTTTTTAGAATAGAGTTCACTTCCATTGATTTCCTCCTTTTTGGTGAGCTTGCTGTGACTAACCCCGTTCCCTTTGCTGAACATCTATCCATTTCTTTTTGTCAAATGGTTAGCACGGTAATTGGCCACACTTTTGAAGGCACTCAGACCATTCTTGTGCATTTTTCCTTCCAGGTTGTCGAATCGTGTAATTCTCAGTCGAGTGGACTGTGTGATCCGAAGCATGGTGAGTTGATTGCTTCTTTGGGTTTTGTAACAATCGAATCCGATTGATTTTTTGTATTTTGGGTCTTAATACGGGTTCAGTTCAGTTTTTACAGCCATTCGTCATGCACTTTCGTGCACCGGTTTTGGTCGCTGTCTTTTGCTTACCCATTTGGATAAAAGAGGAGCATGAAAACTGGAACGTCGAAAACTAATTTAAGCGGAAGAAAGGAATTCATTCACTGATGCTAAGAGAATAATGAATAAATGCATGATCACCGCTGTTTGCGACACCCAGCGATATCGCTCAACGTACTTAACCGTCGGTGACCATGATCTCGGGGTTCCCATCCAAGGAGCCTAACAGAACCTAAATGATTCAAACTCCTCAGTTCGGTTTGTTTGGTCCCTCACACTTCACACACAACCCGATACGATCTGGGTGATTGAGATGGCTTTGTGAACCGGGATACTAACATTCCATTTCATGGCTGCGAACCGACAGCAATGGCGATCATGCTGTCATCTTTTATTCGATCAGAATTCATGAAATAGTATGTATTCACAGTTTGACCGTATACTCTGTGTTGACCATAGAGGTTCGCTTTTTTCCCGTCCTTAAAATGAAGTCCAATCCCGATCTTCCTCACACATTCTCGTTTACCTTGTATGCGATATGAGTTTGGCAGCGATCAGTGAAGTTCGCTTCACTGTACAATGATGATGATTCCATTTCATTTTTTAAATTCTGTCTGCCAATGCTGCCAATTCACCTACCCGTTTCATGTAACCCTATTTCCAGCCGATGCTACTTTTGGAAGTTCGACACTACCTGATCGACTGACACAAAATGCTCCATTTTTCACCATCACTGATGCAAGATTGTCTGAATCAAAGCAAAGGTTAGTTTATTTTTAAGGTATGCATAAGATAGCCTATGTAATCAGTTTTATATTCAGGTTCTAAGTACTCACCGATCGAGGTATGCTACCATCCAGTCGTGTTGTTTTTGCCGCGTTGTAACCGCCCTTCATCGAGAGGGGGGAGGGATGTTCCGTACGGTTTTGATGCATCTGATAGGTGAATACTGTCAGAGAATGTTGTTTATCGTGTGTAGTCATCCGCGTCATGAAGTCTTATGCTGGTCATTACCAAACTCACGGTTTCAATTCGCACGCTCACATAATTCCACTCAAATGAACTTTTGGGTGCCCCTCGTTTGGCAAAAATCGGGCAGCGTTTTTTTTAGAGAAGTGGAGAACTTTCATCTGGTTGAAGCAGTATTCTTATCTTTCGTTCTTTTTTCAATGAAGTATTTTTCTGACACTATGCTCCTGAATGCGTACTGGTTAATCAAGTTCAGATATAACTGTCACATTGATTGCAATTGATCTCAGTTATGTTTTTAACCTCTTGTGTACGCTAGAACACAGTTCAAGATATTACGTCGATCATGAGCGATAGAGCAAAGGAGGGATGCCCAAACGATCGGTGGCTCTTGGGTCAAAGTGGCATGCGTGCGGTAAAACGTAACTTTGATCTGGACAACATGACTCAAACTCGCTGACAGATTTTGTTTAGCGCGAAAACCATGTGGGGTAAGCAGCGCAGATACCGATCGATATCTGAATCTGTAGTAACCGCGTTGATCAGTTTTTCTGCGAGAAATTCGATTGGAGCTGCTCGTGCACTTTTCAACAAGCATGCGTTTAACTAATTGGGGTAATTGAATAATCGATCCCATCCCGTTGTACCTAACCAGTGCAATCGGGTCCTACTATTCCCAACTTCTCGTGGTATCACGCTCAAGGCTGTGGCAGCCATGACATAGTCATTACGAGCAGAACAAAGCACTGTAAACTTTGATCCCCACGGTAGTCCCTCTGGTATGGAGCAGGTTGATTTACCTGTGGAGTAAACTCAGTCCGATAGTTGGTGGCTTGTATCGCGGTTTAGTCGCCAAATATTTAGTTAAACTCTTGTTGTAGTTGCGAGGTCCACGTAAAGTTACAGGCACTGAATTTGAAGCTGCAATTGGGCAAAGAGAGTCTTGGAATATCTGGTAGGTTAATTTCCCGCCTCTATCAATATCTTTCGATCTGTGCAGGTTCGCTTAGGGAGTACTGATTGATCCCATTTGTTTCTCAGCCTTTTGAATGCGGTCCAGTTTCCGATTTGTACAGCGCCTTCTTGCATTGTAAGGTGCCGCACGTTGCGTCACACCACTTGAAGGTTCTCTTTTATTCCTGATCGTGTGTCTGATGGAAACTTTCGATTTTATCACTATCGTTTAAAGCTAAAAGCGGCGAGTTTTCACCGATCATTCCGTGAAGCAAACCAACTTTCTATGACATAATTTTCAACGCGGATGTACAATCATCGTACGTCACCATATCTTTTAGAGAATTTCAGCATACTTATTGCAAAGCAAATTTGGTCTGTTGATACATTGACTCCTAAATAACGTCCACTTGAAGGTCCGTTTATTCGTTCAACTCCAGCAATCAATTTTTGTGAGAAGACAAACACATCTGGTGCTGCTTATGCTTTGAGTAATGCTCGGTTCTTATTATACTTTGAGCTTGTCTCAGCTGATTCCGCGATTGGCGTACCTTTTTGAACAACGAACTCTGTCTTTCATAATCTCGTCGTATTGTTCACTCTGTCAGATTTTATTTGTGCGGCATCAGTTCCATCCGGTTTTCCGAACTCGGTAGTGCCAGCCAGTGTGTTCCTTTCCGTGTTTATCTGTCAAGTTTTGAAAAGCCATTCAGCCGGTTGGTGTATGACGATACGCTTAGATACTGAATATTTGTTCCCTCAATGTAGTGTGATTGTGGATTTGCCAACCAGTCCCGTATTTCGTCCACTGGTATCGTCACACGTGAGCTGAGTCATCTAGCTGTATGACCGTCGGAAATCAATGGGTCCTGCAGTAGTTTTTATGTATTCATGTGCTAATTTCCTTCGTTCCGGGGTTTACACCTTCATAGTTGTGCTCAAATTGCATTCAGATCAAACCAACACTGGTCATGATTATTACTTGAGGAACTTCAAAAGTTTTCGCTCACTGTGGAAACCGGAATGAAGTAGAAACGGTTACATGCTGATATCGAATAGCGCCTGGTTTTCTTCTGATGGATACATTCTTAAACGTCACCCGCTTTTACCTTTATATGTGAATAAAATGTTTGCCGTTTCATTGATTCCCATTGTCACTGTGAAACATTAAAAATAACATGAAAAAAATTCATATTTATTAAAATGATGCTTGTTAGATAGAGTGAAGATAATAGTTTCTTCCGTAGATTGTGATGAAATGAGTAACATCGGTGTGGTCTAGTAGCTCAACCTTTAGGGTTAGTACCATACGAGAGCGTAGTAGGTGTCCCTGCGTGGGTTCCAATCCCACTGAAGCTAATGATAGTTTCACAATCCAAAGAATTATTTATCATCTACCTTATCCAATCAATGTTTTCCATTGATTAAATAGCTATGGTGAAAGCTTACACTTGAATCAGAATAGCATCAGGGAGGAGGGAGGGGGTGTTAGCTATGTTTAATTTGAACTAACGTGGATATGAAAACTGTGGACAAATCAAAAGCCCGGAAGTTTCCGTACCTCTTGATGCGCGATCAGATGAGCTTCCTACCGGTGATGTAGACCTCTAACAAAGAACACTCTTTTGCCACGTATAGACTGTTCTGCTAAATCCAATATTTTCCGGTCTACTGAACTGGTCAACATTTTCGGTTTCCGTGGTTGCACTCGTGATCATATTACAAATTATATAATCTTCTTCGTTGATATATTTCATTCTGCAGCCCTTTTATTCTGGTGGACGGTGATTCCATGATCTTAGATCCATTTTTGGCCCCACTTGCTCGACCCGAATCTGTCAATACATGCGGCGAAGAAAGTTCCGTAGCTCATGATGGAGATCAGCGTGAAATGGAGTCTGGCCTGGTATCATTCAATATCCCAGTCACTACGATAGAACCGAGCTTGGATCGTTCGTGCACACATCGGTCCAGTCAGCTGACCGCACGCACATTATCCGGTGCCGAGTTAAAGCAATTAAATCTATGGAAGCGACACATGAACTCACGCACTGGTCATCCAATCGGACCCCAGACTGACGTGATGGAACCGAATGAGACGCCGGTTTTTCTTGACAAAGAATCCGTGGAGGTTGAAAGTGAGTTGAGTCACTATGTCTAGAGTGATAGGTTTTTGCCGTTCACTTTATCCATCACATGTTTGGCGGTGGGCAGCTTCGCTGTTGTCCGGCTCAATACGCTTAACCAGTATAGCCAAAGTGCATGGTTAGTGGTTGTAAAAACTGGACTGAAACTGAGAGCCTTATGTGGTTGGCCACTCCAAGTTCAGGGGCTCAGGTTGTCGGTCACCATAACGCAACAGCGCAGGTCATCAAGACTGTTGTTCCTTGCACAAAGGTGTATTATAAAAAATATTCTTTAACTTCTTTTATATAGACCCCCTATCGGTGCAAGATTGAATTGAGGTATAATTTGATACCACCAGAATATCTCTATATGTAGCTCTCAGGCCGACCAATGTACCTACCACATTGCTTGGGGTTTAACGAATATAGTTTCAGTTAGTTATAATATAGCTTGAATCTACTTCAAAGTGGCGAGCGAGATTTGATATTAGAATATTGAAAGAGGTAAAAAGAAAACCTTAACGATGTGCTATTTTCATCAAAGAAAAGCGAAAGTCCATCATCGCATCCGTCGTTTTGTTGATCAATTCCAACCCTGCAATCGTCACCTACACTTTACCTTTTTTGTTCGTCGACTCTCAGCCTAACCGAACTTGTTTTTGGTATTTACTATTCGTTTTGCGCGTATATATATATATATATATATTTATATATAAACGGTTCAGTTCAGTTTTTACAACCATTAACGATGCACTTTCGTGCCCCGGTTTTGGTTGCTGTCTTTTGGCCACCCATTTGTATAGAAGAGAGGAATGAAAATTGAAATGCTCAAAGCCAATTCAAGCGGAAGATGGGGAACACATATAGACTGGTGTTAAAAGAATAATGATGAGATGCCTGATACATATTTAACACCAAAATATGCAGATACGGCGCCAAAATAATCATGGGTTTAACACAAAATGTAATGAAGGATAGGGGAAAAAGAAGAAACAAAGGCGGAAAATAAACAACTTTGGGAATAACAAATTGTTTTGTTTGTTTACTGCACGCTATTTTGAATACCTTTTAGTTATTTTTGGGATCACACACACAAAAGTATGCATTCACTCCACTGACTTCGCTTTGATGCCATATCCCGGAATGTCTCCAGCCAAAGGCAATCTCCTGGTCCACACCCCCGCCAGCCGATATGCAACTCCCGAGTTTTCGACTACCTCAGCGGTGTCATTGCCCAACGAAAGTACAGGAACGAGTTCCTACCAATCTTGCGACAACACTGTGCACTTTGAAGGTGCAAAAGACATACCATAATGAGTAGCCTCAATTTCCAAACGATTCAAGGACTCTTGAATCGTCGTTGCGTTGTCACCAAGTAGCGCAATATCATCGGCATACTCTAAGTCTACGACTCCGTCTCCAAGAAGAAGCTCGCCACCAGCGTTTGTTACGTTATGTAACGTGTTTTGTAGAACATCATCTATGGCAAAGTTGAAGAGAAACGGAGAGATAGAGCAACCCTGTCGCACCCGACTGGTGACAGGAAATGAGGGTGAAAGTTCACCATAGGCCCTAACTTTTCCCGAGTTCTGACGGTAGTGTTTTTAGAAGTAGAATATACTTCTCGGGTACTCCGTATCTCCGCAAGCAGTTCCACAGTGTTTGGTGTTATCCATGTGATCCCATTTGCCAGCAGTCACTAACTAGCCTCCGAGAGAGAATGTATATAACCAGACATGAATTAATCGGAATTATCCCAAAAGTATGCATCTGAAATTCATTAAATTACAAAAGGCACATCATAATGGTGATGCTAATAACGCTAGTGGCATGCGACTAACTAGTTATTTGGGAGGAAATGACTATATGATTGAAATAAGCTTTTATTAGGCTTACAGTCATCGGGATATGTTTTTGCGGCATGGCTGTCGATTGAATGGCGCTTAAACAGTTTTATGGGAGAGAAAAAATGACTCCGTTATGAGCTATTCTTCACCCAAACATTTTTCGATTATACTTCAGTGAACTGACCAAAATCGATTGGTTGTGACAGAAAAATTTTAGATCATCAGATTCACCCACATCGAATGACCTTCCAACTTGACCTATATATACGAGGGCTGAGCAAAACGTTTCCGGGAACATTTTATTTGTTACACAACAATAGGCGCTACATTTTCTGGAAGTATTCTCCACCAACGGTCATTTACAGTTCCATGAGCTCAAACGATTCGGCCATGTGGAAGTGGGAAACCCTTCGACCAGTTCAATGAGGGCCTCCACAACAACTGTTGGTGACTCCTATCGGATTCCACGCCTCATGCGCTTGAAATTTGGGAACACGAAAATGTTACGAAGCAAGGTCTGAACTGTAGGGTGGGTGACCATTAGTTGAGCACTGAGTGATATCCGATGGGTGGCGCAAACAGGATGCATCTCTTGAGGTTTGGGAATGAGCAGGAGAAATGGACAAAGATGGTTTTCCAAATTGGTGCCTAAGACTTTAGGGCGCGGCATACTTCGCGGCTGACCACACCAACGAAGGGGTTTTTCTTTGGGAGTCCTAACCGGAGCCTTCGACTCAAACGTCTGACCCACAAGGCAGTGGGGCGTAAATCCAACGCGGGAGCGTGAACGAATCACCCGTGTGGGAGCTTCTAGACACCTGTCACGCAAGGTTGGTTGGGACATGTGCTATGCATGTCACCAAATGGGTTGCCTCGGCGAACGATGTTTGTCGAGGCAGGTAGCGGTCGGAAAAAGACAAAGAGCGGTCAAACTAAGACTTGGCATGAGGTGAAAACCCTAACCAGGAGACTGACTCACATAGGTCCCGTTAGGCTCTCTGGCTGGGGACCCCGAGCTCATGGTCACCGATGGTAAGATACATTGAGTGATATGGCTGGGTGTCACTAACAGTGGCACTCATGCATCCACTCATTCTCTTAACCTCAGCCTACATAAATGCGCTATCTTCCGCTCGAATCTGTGGTCAACATTCTTATCTTCATTCTGCTTTTTTATCCAAATGGGCAATCAAAGGACAGCAACCAAGACCGACGCACGAAAGTGCATGGTTAATGGTTGTAAGAACTGAACTGAACTAAACTCGTGGGTGACCAACCTCCTGGATGAGTTCTGTAGCCAGAAAGTCGCCGACAACACGGGACTTGTGTGCAGGTGCGTTGTCATGGTACAGCAGGTCCCTCGTGCTCGAGTCCTTGAACAAAGCCTGGCAATAGCTTCCAGCATTTTCGGAAGACAATAGGTGGCTTACCAGTGTCCGGTGACTGATTTGCTGTATGAGCCATACAGTAGCCATCTGACCGGTTTCAACCATGAACACAGCCACCATCAGTTTTGCCACACTGCGTTCGCGTCGTAATTTCTGAGGCGGCGCGCCACCAATCGGCGTCCACTGAGCCGATTGTTGCTTGGTCTCATCACCACTTATGATTTCCCAAACTGCATTGGAATGTCCATCATCAAACCTGGCAAGCATGGTGCTGCACTAATTCACCTGAACTGTTTTCTGTTTCTCATTGAGCTGATGGAGTATCCAATGTGTGCAAATCTTTCTAAGGCCTGGTTTCTCATGTATTACAGTGCGAATTGATCTCGATGGAATCCCGATGGCTTTCGCCAGCTGTGCCACTGTCACCGCGCATCGTCCTTCACCATCGCTTGCACAGCAGCAATGTTGTCCGCCGTGGTGGCCTCCATAAGTCGACCGCACCGTGTCTCATCATCCCAAGACCACTTGCTGCGCTTGAATCCNCATTGCTTCTTTAAGGCGCGTAATCACCAGACATAGACCGCAAATGATCAACACTCTGCTGCTGCTGCTGTTTTAAACCACATTTATAGTCGTCTAAAATCATCATCTTCCATTGACCTCGGCTGAGTTCAACCTTTACAGCCCGAGTATGAATTATGAGCTGTTCTCGGTTATTGAAATTTGGTTCTGTGTAAGTTGTAATCACTGATCAATATTCAGAATAGGTGATAGCTCACATTTTTCTTGCCTGGTCATCTGAACCTCGTACTCGTAGTGTACTGCGTATCCGGAAACGTTTTTTGCTCAGTCTTCGTATATAGTTCACTTCTTGATTGTTTTTATCTCGGTTTATACGGTCATGATGATGAACACCGGCACGTTATCTAATCAGTTCTCATGACTTTTCTGTTTGTTTGTTTTTGTCACAAAGAGTTGCTTGTGTGGTATTTCATGTCAGCGTCATTCACACCATACGATACGAACGTGATGTATGTCGAAAGCGATTGGTTACTGTGTGAGTTGCATTCGTGAAAACACACTTCGCGTTTCGTCACAAATAGACTCGATCCACACAAGAAGAAACTTACTACTACTTCGGATTTGAAATAGGTACAAGAAAAAGAAAAAAGTACGTGCTAGGCGTGATCGTTTCCGACGAGAAACGACTTGCACATTACGCTTGGCGTTTTTCAATCGTGAAGAAAAATCAACATTTCTGTTTTGTACTTTGGTGGACCTCAAAATGGAAAAATACGGTTTATCTAAACATTCTACAGAATTTTTCACAGCTTCACTGCCTCTATCGAAAGTTTTGTTATCAATTTTCAGTTATTTTAGTTAAATCAACCATTAACCATACATTTCAGTGCGATGCTGTTGGTTACTGTCTTTTGGTTGCCCATTTGGGTGAACAATAAGAGGATAACAAGAAGGTTGAAAGTAGGATCGAACAGAACATTGAAAAGTTCAGTGGACTAATGATGCATGTCAAAAGTCGGTTCTGTTTACGACACCCAGCCATATCACTCAGTGTCTCTAACCATCGGTACGACCATTCCGAGGTCCCCATCCAGGGAGCCTAACGGGACCTATATGACCCACACTCTTGGTTAGGGTTTTCATACCCTCATGCCAGGTCTTAGGTTGACCAACCTTGGCCTTCTTCCACCCACTACCTGCCTCGGCAAATATCGCTCGCCGTGGCAACCTATTTGTTGATATGCGTAATAATGTAATGTAATCTATGGAGGTCGATCATTTGCTCCAGTCGGCGACCGCGATTGCCTAAAACTTTGCGCCTAACCTCAGCATTGCTCATCCGGCTGCCCCACCAGATTCGTGCGATGTTGCATAGACAGTGGTGTTCAAGCACACCGACAGTCTATCTTTATCCTGTTTTCTTAATGGCCAAGTTTCTGCTCCATATAGCAGAACTGGCCGAACTGCTGCAGCATACACTCGATCCTTCACAGACAACCGGATGTCGCGACGGCACCACAGATGTCTCAAGTTAGCAAATGCCAACCAAGCCTTCTGTATGCGAGCTGGCACTTCATCTGGGATGCGTGTACCAGATAACAAAACTTATCCGTTTTCTCTAATACTTCCCCAGTTAGAGTGAGGCTCGGTGCTGGACCAACCCAGTCTTGTGGTAGCATTTTACACTTTGAAGGTGCAAAACGCATATCGAACATAGCTAAACTAGTACTCAAACTTTCCAGGAAAGCTTGTCACTTACCTGGATCTTCACTTAGCAGCACTATGTCGTCTGCATATTCTAGATCAGACAGTGTGCCACTCCTCGCACGAAGATAGGGCTGTGTCCATAATCAGATATATAACAAAGTTGAATAGTAAAGGGGAGTGGGCAACCCTGAGGAAACCACTTTCCGTGGTGAAAACATGCCGTAAGTCCAAACTCGACTTCGGCTATGATTATATAGGGATCGTAATATTGAGATCAACTTTTCGGACACACCCTTTAGGGAAAGGGTTTAGACCGGTCGACTGAGTCGAAGGCCGCTTTCAAGTCGAGAAAGACAGAGATAGTGGGTCTATGAAAAGAATGTCGATGCTCCAGGATTTGACGAAGAGTGAAGATGTGGTCGATACAACCTCGAGCAGGTCTAAAACCAGCCTGGTTGTCACGTGTACACCGTTCACGTGCGGCAGACAATCGACGGGGTATGATCCCAGCGAGAAGTTTAGAGACGATGTTGATTAAACTAATTCCTCTGTGGTTCTCACAGGATAATCTGTTACCTTTCTTGTAAATCGGTATGATCACCGATTCACACCATTCATCTGGAACCTGTTCCCTCTCCCACACTGAGCCCAGGAGTTTCGTTAACTCCGAAACCAATGTTAAACCTCCATCCTTAAAAACGGATGGGGATAGCCCGTCTGGGCCGGAGGCTTTATGCCTTTTGAGATAGCTTATTTCCCGGGAAACCTCCATTTCAGATGGAGAATTGACATCAACCGGCAATATTTTTTGTTATGCTGAAATAAATCGTGATCTATATTTGATCTATAATCACTAGGTCGTCATCTCACTTTGTTACTTCCGAATTATTTCTCTAAACCTATTTAAACACACAGGTCATCGATACTTTGAACTACCTGGCACTCGACGACGTCGTCGTCTCCTCTGGGCAGGATTCCGCGCCTCCCAACGACGCTGGGAATCCCTGGAACAAGCAGCTGCCATAGCTCAAAGAAATGCTCGCCTGCGACAGTGTGTCACAGCCAGTGGTCATTTGGACTCATTGGATTCGAATACCACTGGTAAACCGTACCGGAAATTAGCAAACACGTCATCGCCAAATATGCCCCCTGGTGTTCCACACATTGGAAAAGATTTTCGACCTCGTCATGGCTCCGTTTCTTTACCGGAATTAATCGATTCAGGTTCGATGGAAATATTGTTTTTTTTTCCCGAATGACGATTAGTTGTCATGATTAGTTATCACAGAATTTATCACTGACAGTTGTTCTAATGCACTGAGAGGTCTTTTCCATTCAAAGCTTTTGGTTTTAAGCTTTGGAGACAATCAAACCATACAAAAATGGTTATCTTATTTTTGCGAGTGGAACAGCTTACAGTCGTGGACTAACTTAACTACCAAGATTTTACAAACGTGTTTAGCTGGTTGACGTTAGCAGTTTCATAGAGTTGTTGCTTTTTCCCGCCAATAACCATAAAATGCACATGGAAGCTTTTACCTCTGGGATTCTAACACAGTGAGCACTTCTGGGATAAACTGCGGTTTTCAAATCCTTGAGAAGACGATCTCCTGATCGTTGAGAAAATACGTCAAGTATCTATCTGAAGATTATTCTGATGTGCGATCTCTGATGCGACCTGTCTATGTCCTCCTGTGGTTCAGATATCATCTATATTATGTTTATTCATGATTGCATTTGATTGCATTTTTTGTGTGACATGGTACTTGATGGTCTGAATGTCAACTACCTAAAGCGAACGGAAAGAACAACTACGTTATCTTGATCAGCGCACGTAGCACGTCTGATCCTATTCCGTTTTGATGATGATGAGAATTCGCTCGTGTTTTGTGTGTGTATGTCCATTTGGATATGGAAATTCTTCTCTAAGTAGGTTTCTCACCAATCAACAAACAGGGTAAACGTGTTTTAACTTTATTCTAACATACACACACCAACACGGGGTGGGAGAGGGGGCCTGAGATACAGACGAAAAAATAAAACGATTTATCTGTACCACAATTTCATATTTGTAAACCTCCCTATCTACCCCACCCCACCGCTGGAAATAGAGATCTCACGATGAAGGCCATACACTTCGCATTCTACATTAGTCTCTCCGTGCACAAAGCCTTTCCATTCCTTCTCAGCCCTGGAAAAGTAGTTGACCATTCGAGCACAAAACCACCTGGTGTATGGCTGTTCTCACAGTGTAGATTTCATATTCACACTTTGGATTTGACTAACAAAGTATGAAACCTCTTGCGCTGTATTGCTTGTTGTTGTTCTGTTGTCTGCCAGAGCACTGTGTACTAGCGACTCTTGATCCCAATAACATTTTTACAAGAAAAGTCTATTCCTTCTTTGTTTCT